GGCAAGTAAATGGAACCTCACAGAATGTTACCTAGTGCCACACATGAGAATACATACAAACGAGAAGCCAAACAGCTATGAGATTTGTACTAGTTCTCGGTCTATATATAATTTTACATAGAGGTCACGAACCATGTAAAAGGTGAAGGTCTATAGATATACTTTCACCCATAAAAGATATCTTGTAGGGATCATGAGGAGTATGAATCAGCCCCATTTTTATCCCAAAGAAACATACTTCCTCTTGACATTATTGTGGAAGAATTGGCCTGAATATTTCTGATATATGTTGTACATGATATTCTTAATGTGTAGTTTTTGCCAAGTTTAATAAAGTTATTATTATGACCTGTATTTTAGTCTCCATGTACATACATATATATGTAAATATATGTAAACATACATATATAGTATATATATGTAAATATATGTAAATATATATATATATATATATATATATATATATATATATATATATATATATATATATATATATATATATATTATGCACACATATATATAAGTGCCGTCACTTATTAAAGGTGATCGAAAGTGAAATACTGTTGGTCATAATGTGCTTGGTAATTAAAGCACTTATCCTTGTTCATTAAAGCTGTACATAACCCAGTGCCACCACCCGATTGGTACATTGGGAACAAGTATGAGAGGAGATGCGATTGGGGAAAGAAGGGGCAGCATTGTATGTATGTGTGTGTGTGTGAGATGCAGTTGTGCAAATGAGCCGAAGTGAGGTGGGCGTGGTTAGAACCCTAGGAGAGGCGTGTGCACATGGTTGCTTGCCCTATACGAGTTGAAATTAAGATGTGCTAAGATCTTGCTCAGCTTTCCTTCTTGCAAATAGACGGTGACTTATCGAAAAGATTTATGATGAAATCAACTATTTACTTTATAAAAGCAGAAATAAAACATACGATATATATCTATAAATATATGTATGTATATATATATATGAAAGATGGAATAATGCAATACCGCATTTTTTTAACATGAACATTATAACCTCTCCGATCGGGATTCGATCCCTCGCCGCCAATGCACGTGAATGCAAGACGGCCGCTCTACCACTCGTACAACGACCCACTCAAAAGGAGTGAGCAACTAGGCGCTTACTAGCATCCATAGACATTACCTCCGGCGAGGGATCGAATCCCGATCGAGAGGTTATAATGTTCATGATAAAAAATGCGGTATTGCATTATTCCATCTTTCATAGAATACACCTCAGGTTATCTGATTTGTGATTTGTCCTGCTCTGTCCATAAATACCGAGTGCCCACGGGGAGTGAGTGTGAAACTTTGCTATCCTTACTCATGTATGAGTAGGTAGGTAATGTCTATGGATGCTAGTAAGCGCCTAGTTGCTCACTCCTTTTGAGTGGGTCGTTGTACGAGTGGTAGAGCGGCCGTCTTGCATTCACGTGCATTGGGCGAGGGATCGAATCCCGATCGGAGAGGTTATAATGTTCATATATATATATATATATATATATATATATATATATATATATATATATATATATATATATATATATATAATATATATATATATATATATATATATATATATATATATATATATATATATATATATATATATATATATATATAAGATATATATACATATATATAAATATATATATATAATATATATACATATATATATATATATATATACATAATATATATTCATTTATATATTCAAATACACATGTATGTGTGTGTGTATACATATACATAAATACTGTACCTATATACGTTATCCTATAAATACTAACCTACATACACACTCGCATCAATACCCTTGTATGCATTTGGCAAAATATATTTATTGTATAACAGACATGATGTTGACTTACGTGTTTGTGGCTATATTACGAGAGATTTTTTTAAATTTGTTTTTTTTTTTTCTCTAGGGTGAGCTAGTCTATGGATATATCAGCGCTTAGCGAGTTCGTCTAGCAACTTGCAGACCTGCGTTCAATCCCACGCCCGGCCAGTGAATGATAACCCCGGCCATTCCTTGCACACAGGGTGAGAATTTAGTGTCACAGCAAAGAATATCCATTGTAACAAATGGAATAAAACTATATGTTTTAACTTATAATCATTAGCGAAATTTACCTCTTCCTACTTGGGGATTAATGCTACAGGCTATCGGCAACAGAAATCTAAATAACTGGAATTAAACAGCAAAATTCGTATGAGAGGCGAATGTATGCCTCGTATCAGGATCATGCACCACCCGCTGATCTCTTCCCTTTGCTCTCGGGACTCTCGGGACTTTGCTTCCAGCCAAACTTCATAACATAATCCTTTGTGTGAAGTAAATGTATCTTGTTTCAACTAACAGGGAATGTGCCCCAATTCTTCCCACTCTCTCTCGCTCTCCCTCCCCCTCCCCTCTCTCTTGCTCTATCTACTTTTTATCCATATATCTCTGTGTTGCGCTCTCTTTCCCGCACCCTACTCTCTCCTGTGT